TGAGGAAACTTTTGTGCAAAGGTTTTTTTGGGGGGGGGGGAGCACTCAGTCTCAGTAACGTGTTGTCTAAGCAACAAGTTTTTCAAACCAATTTTAATTTTGCTGTCAGCTTTGCATCAGTAATTTTGCATCCAGGATTTGTCACTGAAAACATACCAGGGAAATGACTGAGCCACAAGTTTTTAAAGATCACCTGTAACGTCATCCAAAATCCGCCTGCAGCTCTGCTGCCAGATAGGAAAAGAGAAGAAAAAGGGAAAACTGAGCAGTCACTAGACGTAACTTCTGAAACATGCCATCGCGTTTCCCTTTGTCTCTTTCAGCCAAACACCACTGCAAGGCAACTCCTGCAGACCAGCAAAAGCCACTGGTCCCCGCAGTTTAAGTGTGCGTCCCTACGAACGGCGTCTCCCAAAGCAAAGGGCGCGGATTCGCCGGCTTTCCCCAAGGTGCCCGACTCCAGGCGGAAGAGCCTGCGGCAGTTCTCCATCACCACCGCCCTGAACACCCTCAACCGGATGGTCCACGCGCCCGCCGAGCGGCAGGCGCTGGAGATCAGCTCCCCTGTGCTCATCAGCTCCAGCAACCCCACCGTAGCCACCCAGAGCAGCGAGAAAGCGGAGTTTCCCTACGGCACCCCTCTCCAGGTAAGGAAGCGGCGGTGTGCATGCTGTAGGAGCAGTATGAGTCCAAAGTGCAAATCCTGGATAGAAACACTTGATGCGCAGGCAGCAATTTGAAAAGCTAAAGCGCAAACGTGCAAAGACAAAGCACCCATGCTAATAGCGTCAGTAAGATGTGTCATCCACATCAGGCTGCCTGGGATTTTTTTCCTCTCCTTTTGAATTGGAAAGGTCTGTCTTCAGAGTTCAGGGACCCAAGGGAATTCATAAAAAGAGAAATTAAGTTATCAGAGTAACTAAATGTGGCTAAAGCACATTCCCATCCTGATTTCTGCCCTACTGCAGTGAACTCCAGGTGTAGAACAGAAAACAGAGAGCTTAACTTGCAAAATAAAACATTTTTCATTTTAGAAAGTAGTATGGAACATGAATCCCCAAGGGACCTAACTGAGCCTCAGCTCATTCACAGACATGTATGTGTGCGTGTGTGCCTGAATTCACACTGCAGGCAAACATCTGGTTTGCCATATAACAATGTAGATCAAAGATAGGTAGTTCTCAACATTTGGAAAATTAAACCTAAAACCAGTCATTGGGCCACCCTCACCTGCGTTACTTTGATGATGAGCCTTTCTGAGCTCCTCGCACAGAATTAAGTTGCACCAGCACGGTAGGACCTGCAGAATCAGCCCCTGAATTATGAGCAAATAAAAGCCCAGTGAGAAAGCTGCATTGTACTGAGCAGGTCTGTACTGCCAGTGATTGCTTTAACGGCCTTTTCATCTAACCCCCATGCTTAAAAGGAAAGTAGAAACCTGCTCTGTTTAATAATTGGTATTTCAATTTTTCTGGTAAGTCTCACGCATACAAGGAGTCCCCAGCATCCCCAGTGCTCATCCTCAATGATAAGCATTGGGCTTAATCAAAAAACTTGATTAAGCCCAAAATCTCAGTGCAGAAGATCACATGTTTTGGTATCTCTAAACATAACCTTTACTCTGCCCGCCGGGGCACACGCAGGCATTGCGGAAGCACGGAGCTCCATTACCGTGCCCAATCCACAAAGTTTTCTCCAAAGGCAAACTGCCTACAGGACAGGTTTCCTCACAAAACACCAATTCAGCAGTGTTAATAATGAAGAAGCCTCCTGCTTCTTCTAAGCAGGGCTGTCAGCCCTTCTGAAAAGCAATCGGGGTCTTTGCCCTACCGTAAATCAGTCCTCTGCCTGCATCTATCCACGTCCAGACGAATGGTTTCTGCAGGGGAGGGCAATTACCGGGAGTCCTTGTCAGTCTGCAATCTAAACCTGGGACTATGCTGAGAGAAGCCGAATTTGGGGCTGAGATAATAAACATAGACTGACCTTTTGGACTATATCCGCTCTTTATTTTAGGAGGCAAAAGAGTCTCATTCCTTCTTCACACACTAACTAAAGACAGAATCTTCACAGATCATCTGAAATGGGAGAAAAAAGGTTTTTGTTTAGATTTATATGACATCTTTCATATTCAAGGTTGCTTTAACATTTTACAAAGCAATAAGCCAGCCCCTGGTAGTTCGGTGCCTGTGCAATAAAACCCAGCAGGCATTTTGTACTTAGCAATAGCCTGCAAAGAGCCTTGGATGTTAGATGCTGTTTTATGTGAGAGGAAATGAAGCCTTAACAATAGAGCTATAATTCAATTGAAATGGTATCATGTCTCGCAAACCCAATATAATTTTACCAAAAATGTCTCAGTGTAAACTATTGTCAACAGCAGAAGCAATAGAGGGAACGTGTTAACGTTTTGCCTTAGAAGGGCCGGAATTTCCTTTCTTCTAAACAACAGTTTTGCTCCCAGAGGTTTGCAGGAGGATCTGTGTTGTTCACAGGGCCACACGGGTTGCAGCTTTTTGTTTTTCCATCTCTGGATTTGGGTTGCAATGACTAACCTGCAAAGTTGAGATTCTTTTGCAAGCCCAGATATGCACTGCCAGGCTGGACCATGTTGGCCATATCCCACTGAGGTCGCTCGTCCTTTTTCCTAGTATTAATCAGATGGAAAAGCTGCAGGGGTGAATTTGTTGATAGGGCAGCCCTCATGATCAGAACAAAGTTGCAGGATTGAGGAGTAATGGGAGAGATGAGAGCTGATGCTGATCCCAAGGGTTGGTCTACCCTGCTCAGCAGCTTCTGGTGGAAGCTCAGCTTCGATAGTAAGTGCTGAGACTTTGAAAAAACAGCAGCGCATCTCCAAAAGTGTGGTGGTTCCATAGCAATTAATTTTATATACACATTACCTGGAAGGAAGAGATCTGTGTTTCTTGGGTTTAAACTACTCCAGATAAAATAGAAGTTCGGAAGTAATGAACAGTTGTGTGCCTACTGCCAGCCCTGAAAACTCAGCCCCAGAGTACAAGTGTCAAGCTGGGGTCTTCCACTATTAGCAATATAGTAAAGAAAAGAGTGGGTTGAATCACATCCTTAATTGCTTCCGTGCGTTTTCGTGTTCCCTAGTAAGTCTGCAGAGGTTGAGTAGCCTGGATCTTTGTGGGTGGCCACAAATATGGTGCAGCAGATGGAGCCGAGTCTACAGCTCAGCTCAGCCTTCCCGACTCCGGGCTGAAATCCTCACCAGGGTTCACCCAGGTGCCGAGCCTGTGCTCACACACGGCTGTGCTGTGTAAGGAGCAGCAATGGCAGCTCTCGAACCGCCCAGGAGCCAGCCCCAAACGGCACAGCCTCTCAGGAGGAGTTTCTAAGACCTGGTGGGCAAAACTGAGCAATTTTTGAGAATGAAGTAGGTGAGGATTTAACCGGTTGTTAAGTGGGAATTGTCCCAGGAGACAAAGCCCAGGGTTGGATAACTTTAGCTGGCAGGCAGAGGTAAGGTATATGGGGTAGGCTGGTCAAGGGGGAGGGGGACGGAAGGTGCCCCCTTGCCCAGCCCCTGGCCGCCAGCGCTGATGCCCTCCTCCGCCAAGCAGAGGGATGGCGCGGGAGAAGAGCAGGCATCTGCCTAAGATGGCGAGCGGCGGGCGAAGCCGTGGAGGCTGCGTGGGGCTAGCGGGTGAATCACTGGCAGGAGGAATGCGCACCGCAGCATCCGCCCTCCCTGGGAGCCAGGGAAAGTCCGCCTCCCCATCCAGGTCTCTCTGCGGAGCCCAAAGAAGTCAGAGCAGCCACGGCCCCCGGGCTCCACACCCAAACACCAGAGCTTTTCTCCCTCTGTGAAAGGAACTGCGCCATCAGCAGCTCCCCAGCCCTTCGCTCGCCTCCACGCGCTAGGCAGGCGCTCGCTTGCCAGGAGCACGCCCTCCACAGAGCGCTCAGAGGTGCTTTTGTCCTTTCAGACAATGACCCAGTTTCATTCCCTGCCTGAGATAAGGATGTAAGGCCCCGTGAGACCAGCTGGAAGGAAAGGAGCTGTGCTGCAACTGGGTTTGACACTAGCAAGGGTTAGGATCACAGGAGGTGGGGTCCTAGCATCAGCCCTCACTCAGGGATGGGGCAGCAGAGCAACCTTAGTGATCAAACTGGAAACCAAGTGACCCTGTTACTATCCAAGGTTTTAAATCCCTCTCCTCTGCAAGGACAGGCTTCCAGACAGATATTGAATATACATTTGGATCTAGTAATTTTAAAAAAAAAAATCTATGCATTTTGAACAGATGTGTTCATTGCTTTCCTTGGGGTGAGGGTCAAAAAAGTGGGAATTTTCCAGTAGCTTGTAGTTCCATGACACTTGCCCCAAGCTATGAGACTACATACGTTTGAGGGAAACAAAGAGGAGCATTAGTATCCCCCTGAAGCACCCTGTGTGTGACATGTCCCCCCGTCGGAATCACGTCTCCAGCAGTGCTGGCGCTTGGCAGGGGGAGAGGGAGCAGGAGGGGCTGCACAGTGGGTACACGCAGCAACAAAGCACGGCTTAAGAAGCAAAGCTGAAGAGGCTGTGCTGCGTGTTTGTAGGGCTTTCCTAAACACAGTGTGCCTGCCTGCCTGGCATTTCCACCAACAAGGATCAGGTTGGACTCATTTCGACCCATAAAAGGGAATAACCGGCAGCGGCTGGCACTGCTGCCAGCCCTCCTCCTGCTCTTCCTTCCCCTTTGTGGTGCCAAGCCGGGCTCAGGCAGGAGCCAGAACCAGTTTGCAGGGCTTATGGCGCACCATGTCTGTGCCTGTGCCTGTTGTGCAAGCGGGCTGGCTGCGGGGCGAGGGGAGCGCGGCAGCGCTGAACTGTGCCCTCCCTCTCCGCCTCCTGCGGAAAGCGCCAGCAGCTGCAGGATTCTCTTCCCAGTCACAACTGAGCTTATTCCCCTGGGCCTGGTAGTACCTGGGTCAGGAAACATCTGGCTAGGAGCTGCTGCTACCCTTTGCCGCTCGTTAAAGCAAGCTGATAAACCTGACATCTGCCATCTAGTACATTTGGCTTTTCTATGTAATAAATGAGCTGAAACTTGCAGGACCCAACGTTTAGTAGCACCAAGAGCACCAACTGCCCTGCGATGGAACGGGGAAAATCTCCCTCCCCACACAGTATCTCATGAACACTCTCGACAGGGAATTGCCTGTGTCAGCAGGGCACTGCAGAGAGGAGCCAAGCTAGAAATCACGTTGGCGACAAGCTAGATTGGGAGATGGAGTAAGAGAGGGATTTAAGGAGAGGTGGAAAGTGAAACTCTTTGTACTTATAAGGGCTTGCAAGGTACTCAAAGGAGATCAGCAAAAGTGAATGCTGAAATCACTTATACCTGGCTGGAAAATATTTCATTCAATCTTTTTTCTCTCTGTTGAAAATACAAAACCAGCTTTGATGCAGGCTCTGGAAGGATCTCTGCTTCCATGCAGAGTGGGAACAGAGGGAGATGAAAAACATTAAGCTTTCCATCCAGAAGTGGACATTTCAACACAGTTCCATCAGGAAAACCAGCAAAAGGTTGTAATTTTGCTCCAGTGCAGGAAAAAGAAACTCCAAATCCCCAAATTTCAAAGGTTTTGATTATCAAGATTATTAAAACAGAAGTATAATTTTCAATCAACTTCATTTATATGAGAGGCTGGTCTGACCCTACCTGAACTAGAAAATGAGGAATGCAAAGATGGTTTGAAGCTTTACCTACCACTCCAGGTGGAGAGACAGAAGCTATAGTTGCTGGGGTTTTTTAATTAACTTAATTTACTGGAGAGCAACAGAGCTGGTGAGTCACTTTTTTTCCTCTAGGTCCTTGCTAAGCCAGTGCCCCCGCACAGTGTTACAGACATGGCCACTAGAAGTTAGATTTGAAATGAATAGGAGATTAAAGCCCTGACAACTTGCATCATTAAAGATCCTGTGGTCTTTGCTGGAGAACATGACTGCCAGCCACATCCCAGCCCGGTGACTTTCTGCTGGCCTGAGATTCCCCAGGGATGCTGCTGCAGCCGCCCTGCCTTGCTGGGAACTTTGTTTTCACCTCCCGGCAGCAGCCGTGCTCCTGCAGTGGTGCAACATGGCTAACGCCTTTCAGCGTGCACCGCGCTGAATTTCAAATGGGGATGAACTGCTTGCTCACAGCAGTTCACCCCGGGATATGTTTTTGTGCTTTAGAATCATAGAATCATTGAGGTTGGAAAAGACCTCTAAGATCATCGAGTCCAACCATCGACCCAACACCACCATGCCCACTAAACCATGTCCCTCAGTGCCTCATCTACACGTCTTTTAAATACCTCCAGGGATGG